AACCACATTAACAAAATGAAGGATAAAAATCATATGATCATCTCAAAAGATACAGAAAAAGCACGTGATAAAATTTAACATCCATTTATGATAAAAACTCAACAAAGTGGGTATAGAGGGAACATACCTCAACATAATAAAGGCCGTAACAAAGCCATAGCTAACATATACAGTGGTGAAAAACTGAAAGCTTTTCCTCTAAGATCAAGAACAACACAAGGTTGCCCTTATTCAACACAGTATTGAGAGTCTTAGCCATAGCAATCAGACAAAAAGAGGTAAAAGTCTTCCAAATTGAAAAGGAAGAAGTAAAACTATCACTGTTTGCAGATGACAGGATACTATATATAGAGAACCCTAAAGATGCCAAAAAAAAAAAAAAAAAACTATTAGAACTAATAAATGAACTCATTAAAGTTGCAGGATACAAAAATCAACATACAGAAATCTGTTGTGTTTCTATACACTAATAATGAACTATCAGAGAAATTAAGGAGATAATTTCACTTACAATTACTACAAAAAAATACGTAGGAATAAATTTAAACAAAGAAATGAAAGAACTATACTTTGAAAAGTATAAGACACTGATCAAAGAAACTGAAGACAATACCATGCTCATGGGTTGGAAGAATTAATATTGTTAAAATTTCCATACTATCCAAAGCAATCTACAGGTTCAGGGAAAGCCCTATCAAAATACCAATGGCATTCTCCACAGAACTGGAACAAACAATCCTAAAATTTGTATGGAACCACAAAAGACCTTGAATAGGCAATTCAATCTTAAGAAAGAAGAACAAAGCTGGAAGTATCATGCTCCATGGTTTCAAACTATGCTACAAAGCTACAGTAATCAAAATAGTATGGTACTGGTACAAAAACAGACATATATATCAATGGAAAAGAACAGAAAGCCCAGGAATAAACCCATGCTTATATGGTCAATTAATTTATGAAAAGGGGGCCAAGAATATATAGTGGGGAAAAGAGAGTCTGTTCAATAGATGGTGATGGGAAAACTGGACAGCTACATGCAAAAGAATGAAACTGGACAACTTTCTTATACCAAAAAAAGAAGTAAACTCAAAATGGATTAAAGACTTAAATGTAAGACCTGAAACCATAAACTCCTAAAAGAAAACAAAAGCAGTTGCTCTTTGATATCGGTCTTAGCAATATTTTGGGGGATCTGTCTCCTCAGGCAAGGGCAACAAAAGCAAAACTAAACAAATGGGACTACATCAAACTAAGAAGCTTCTGCACAGTTGAAAGCCATCAATAAAATGAAAAGGCAACCTACTGAATGGGACAAGTTATTTGCAAGTGATACATCTGATAAGGGTGTTAATATCCAAAATATATAAAGAACTCATATAACTCAATAAAATAACAATCATGAAAAAGAAAATAAACAAAAAAGAACAAACAATCCAATTAAAAAATGGGTAGAAGAACTGAATAGATAATTTTCCAAGGAAGACATACAGATGGCCAGAAGACAAATGAAAAGAATGCTCAACATCACTAATCACTATGGAAATGCAAATCAAAACCATAATACGACATCACCTCAAACCTATCCAAATGGCTATTATCAAATGAACAACAAAAAACAAGTGTTGGTGAAAATGTGGAGAAAAGGGAACCCTTGTGCACTGCTGATGGGAATGTAAATTGGTGCAGTCACTACGGAAAACAGTATGAAAGTTTCTCAAAAAATTAAGAATAGAACTGCCATATGATCCAGCAATCCCTCTTCTGAGTATTTATCTGAAGAAGTGAAAACACTAATTTGAAAAGACGTATGCACCCTATGTTCACTGCAGCATTATTTACAACAGCCAAGATATGGAAGCAACCTAAGTGTCCATTGATAGATGAATAGACAAAGAGATGTTGTATATATGTATACAATTGAATATTACTCAGCCGTAAAAAAGAATAAAATCTTGCCACCTGCAACCACATGGATGGACCCAAAGGATATTATGCTAAGTGAAATAAGTCAGACAGAAAAAGACACATCTTTATGATTTCATTTATTTGTAGGATCTAAAAAAACAGAACAAATGAACAAACAAAACAGAAGCAAAACTCATAGATACAAACTGGTAGTTTGGCGGAGGGAGGCGGAAATAGGTTGGGGGGATTAAGAAGTGCAAACTTCCAGTTATAAAACAACTAAGTCACAGGTATGTAATGTACAGTGTAGAGAATATAGTCAATAATATTGCAGTAACTTTATAATGGTGACAGATGGTTACTAGACTTATCATGGTGATCAATTCATAATGTATATAAATGTCAAATCACTATGTCATACACCTGAAACTAATATAATATAGTATATCAACTATATTTCCATTAAAAAAGAGAAAAAGAAAGAGCTTCTGGACAGGGGCATGGTATATGTATTCATAAATAATCTAAGGAAATAAGAAACTACAATTGTAAATATAAACTGAATATGAAAATGGTCAATCTCAAAGTACTAAAGGGTAAAGTTAGTACACTTTGGTAGTAATGGTTGATACCATCTTAGGGTAGGCTGGACAGTGGCAGGGTTCTACAGAGGAGCAGGCTAAAAAGGGAGTAGTAGAGAGAGTAGGTCAAATGAAGACAACTTTCTCAAATTTGCTTGTCTATCTGTGGTTAATGGTTGAAAAATTCAACTTACTAAAATAGAAGCAGGCAAGGCCCATACACTTGGATTCACCCTGCTTGCTAGTGCTGTATAACTACATGTGTTGGACACTTAGAAAAAGTTAAGACCCTCTTCTATAGAAAGCAGCCATACAGATTAAGGTAAAGATACAATATTACACATTATTATATGCCCTGCTTAATAAAGCAGAGGTTAAGTATGGTGCTGCAGCTTACATCCTTTTAAAACAGGACACAAAATTACAAACACAGAATTAGGTGGAAAAACAATTTTTTTATTTAGAATGAGAAAAAAAATCTCAACAACTGGTTGGAGCCATAGAGTTCTAGATTCCTTTCTTCTGAGGTAGCTTTAGGCAATTCACCAGAAACGCCAACTTAGAAATGCTTCTGGCTACAACCTGTCATTCCCTTTCCACCTAGAACCTGTACAACTCCCAGTAACTTACAACATTTTACAGAGGCCTAAGCCAACAACACAGTTAAATTTAAATTAAAAGTTAAATTTCATTAACTTCACCTAAAATCCGCCTCTGACTACGGAGGCTCATTAAAACAGTGATTCTCAGTTGAGGCTGGGACACTGAGAATCTGGGGAAAGAGAAACCACATGACAAATTTAAACCATCCCAGATGATTCTGATATGCAATTGCCACTCCCTACATTCTCCCCGTACCCCCTGCCCCCGAAGATTCACAGTGCAGAGTCCCATACACTAATACCATAGCCTAATGGTATCTTAGAAGGCAATATAAACAAGAACTGGCCAATTGTCCTTGATCTGAACATAAAATATGTGTGGAACATAAAAGTGTGAACAATTCCATTATTTTAGAATTTAAACACATTGAAAGGTCAAGTTACTTCATCAAGGGTACAAAACTGATACTCTCTCTGAACCTCCCAAATACAACTGTTCCTACCATTGCATTTAATCTTGAAGGAAAAAAAAGGGGAGTTTTACATATTCCTCTTTGGGGTCAGAGTATGCTTGTTCACTTTCTAACTTCTTTCCCAGAATAAAGCAGCGGTGAAGTTTGTTGGCTTTTCTTAACAGCTCAAGGTAACATTTACCTACTGTACAGGCTTCTTAGTAATTAATACAATGTTCCCATCTCAAGTCTTCTGCCAACAGCAACGAGAGAAGATGCAGTGGCATTGAACGGCCCCGCAAGAATGGTATTTTTCTTTTCCCCCCAAAAAAAAAAATTACAACCACCAGCCTACACGCACAAGTCGGCCAGTAACCCTTGTCAATTTCTCTCCAACTATCCTACAAGTTCACAGGGCCCTTTGGTCCTAGATTTCCCCGGGTAACCTTTAAAAACGAAAGCGCCGTCTGTGGGTTGGGTAGCAGTAGCTGACTATCTGAAAAATCCTGAGCTCCGCAGCGCAGGAGCTTCCCCGTTGGACACAAGAACCGTTTTCTCCCGAAGAGGGATTCCCTCACGCCTCTTCCCACTAGACTTGAGACTCACCCCCGGCGCCACCCAAGTCTCCAATCCACAACCAGCAACAACACTAAATCAAGAATAATTTCTCTAGACTCGGGTGATTTCGCTCCCAGAGTTCAGGGCTGGCTGCGCCTGAAAAGAAGCTGCCAGGGGCGGGGGCAATTTTGGGCCACCGCCTCCCGGGTTCGGGCACTGTCACTGGAAATATCCGCGTCAAAGAAGGGAAGAGGAGAAAAGGGGGAAACAGCACAACTTTGCAGACTCCACGAAGCCAAGGCCCTGCCAAACATAAGGTCAAAGTGCAGACGAGGGAGCGGCTGCTATTCGGGACCCGCCGGGACGCAGCCCCGGAGCCGGCGAGCCGCCAGGCGAGGTCGGGCAGCTGGGGGAGACCCACCCTGCCCCGGCTCCGAGTCTCCAGCGGGGCCGAGCGAGCGCGCTGGGGCGGCCGCCGCACGGCGGGGCCAACTCCGTGAGTTGACTTGGAACTTTCCCGGGACGCGCCGCCGCGCCGCCCTCACCTTACTGAACACCTCCAGGTCGTCCTCGTCTTCGTCCAGATCCAGCACCTCGGCCTGCAGGAGGGCGGAGGAGCCGCTGCTGCCGGGGAGGGGGGCGTCGCCCCCTGGGCTCTCCCCGCCGCCGCCCCCAGCCGGGAGGCCCGAGGAGCGCGCCTGAGGTGCCCGGCACTCGCCCTCCATCCCGAGAGTGCGCGCCCCGCCGGCCGCCGCAGCCAGCCAGGCTCCCCCGAGCGTGCCCATTGGCTCCCGCGCATCCTGCGCCTCCCCGGCCAGCCCCGCTCCAGCCCCACGTCCGCTGCGCAGACGCGGAACTGCCAGGGCGAACGCGGGGCCCAGGCTCATCCCCACTTGGCTTGGGGCCTGCAGGAGGCGAAGGGGTGGGACTCTCGGACTCTGGCTAGGGTGGGGCCAGGGACGCTGTCCCCTGAAGGTAGGAAGGGGGCGTCCTCCTGCGGACCAGGCTGCGGGGCTACCCTACGACAGCTTCCACGGGGGCGGGGGTCTGGGCAGAAGCGACGGAGCGAACCGTGAACTTCAGAGCATCCACAGCGGGGCTGGAAAGCAGCCGACCTATCTCGCCAAGAGAAAAAGCCAATACTGTATTTCCTGCATTTTAATGGTTGCCTTTTTTTCTTGGTTGTGGATTTCGAGTCCGTCTTTTACTAAGGCTAATGCAAAACCTCCTCTGTTTTGTAATTGATTTTTGACCCAGTGACCGGACTGTGTGGTCATTTCACTGTAAAGCCAGGGAAGTTGGATTTAAAAACGATTTTCAGCCCCTTTCAAATGTATCTTTATTCCTGGAGGTCATCCTGAAGTTAATGAGCAAGAATGTTACTAAGAGTCGAGGACAGCGAGCAGGACTGGACCTTGACACCAAGAAATAATCTGCAGTCTTTATGCTGCCAATGCAAAACTGTAATTATTTAGTTGTTCACTGCTTATTATTAAAAAAAAAAACAACTAACTTCCAAAAATAATGGATAATTGAATGCAAATTGATATATTTGGAACTATCTTCAGGTTTTATTACTTACTCGCCTCAGCCCCAGCTCTTTTCTCCCATCAGCCAGGAAAGAACATCTAAGAACTTTGCACATAGAGAAGAGGCGAATTCAGACTTGATTTCCAAAACCTCTCCTGGCAAAGTGTTTAGCCTGATGTTTAAAACTATTAACTTTGGAAAAAAAGACGTATGTAAGAGAATTTCTCTTTCCAGTTAGAGGACAAGGCCTTAATAATATGTTCCCTCTTAACCGTTCATACTGGTTTCAGTTCATGAACACACTTATTCAGTCAAGCTGGGCTCTCTAAGGGGTGAATATCCAGGCTCCTTCCTATGCTTTATAGTTCCTGTACCCAAAATGCCATCTCCTACCTGTCCTGCAGGAATTAACTATAATCCCATGTCTTTCAGGAAGACTTTCTGATTGACACAGTCTGTTCCCAATTTAGCATTTAATTTTATTTCATGCTGTAGGTTGTATTTATTTCATGTAAATGCCTTACATTCCTTAGTAAATTATAACATTTTAAGCTTACGGATCACATTATTTATTAATAAACCACAGTAGTAGATGTACTCACTTAAAAAGGCTCTCTGCTAGGGTATACAAAAAATACAAGTTATTAAAAGGCTATTTTTTCTCTCTAAGCTCATTCTGGCTAGTCAGGAAGATTCAAGTTTTTCGAATTGCCGTCTGAACCAGGAAATTCCGAAGGATACTGTGACACACAGAATTGCCAGAAAGCATAGAGACAGGCTCAGAAAATGGGCAGAACAAACCAAGACTATAGAGCTTGTATCATAGCCACACCCACGCCACAGAACTAATAACGCAGACATTGCTGCCACCATTACTGAGCACCAGATGCCACACCCCTTCCACCTACTGCCATTGACAGTGATGTCACTGGACTCCAGGTGCTGACACCAACATCAGTACCACAGCTGCCTCTGAGAACTGCCTTTGCTATTACTACCACAAACGTACCCACAGTCCTGTTTCTCTGTTTTAATTATTCTAGTTTCAAAACCCTGAAGGGTAGATCTGCTTGACCCACCTGGCTAAATCCCACAGAGATTTCGAAGGCAAATTAGATTTCTAAGCATAGAAAGGCCATATTGATACCGGTCAGCCAAAAAAAAAGGAAAAAAAAAAAAAAACCCTTACTATTATTCATTCCTTTGGCCGCCCAACATTAAAATCACATTTGTTCACATGCTTTTTTTTTTTTCCCATTCCTGCTAAATATAGTTCAGCTATGCCTCAAACACCTGGGAATATAGTCCTCAGCTCCCCAAAGGAAGAAAATCCAAACATACTCATTATTGGTGCAGCTCCAAGTCTAATATGTCTATTCCTCCTGTAGTTCTGCTGCACTTAATGCTGTAAGTGCTCTCTTACAGTCCCAGATTCCCATTAAATGGGATCATCACTGGCTTCTTTAATGGAAGCATTCTTATTTGGGTGCTATATTCTTTCAATCGTCATAGTCCAAAACTTTAAGTACAGGTATAATATTAAGAGAAGCCCTACCCAGTCCTGTCCCTTGGTTTTTGGACTCTTATTCTGATTAATATCATATATTAATTTTTGGGTCTGAGCATATACATCTTGTCAAAAAGCTCCCTCTCTCCCACACTTTCCAGGTAGGATCTCCTGAGACCATAACAGTGTTTAATATGCCAGTCAACTATCCATAAAGTCAGCTGTTTCTGGTAATGGGACTCATGATAAGACAAGTCACCACATGGGCATTGCCCAATGGCTTTATTTCCTTTGCTGGAGGTGATTTAATTGATTAGAAAAAAAAAAGTTATGTGCGAAATCTGATGGGAAATAAACCAGTCAGTAAGTTCATGGATGATCGTGCTGGCAGAAACTTGTTGAGCAGGAAAAGCAAACCCAGTGTATCTTTTCCATTAAGGACAAATCATGACATCCTCCAGATTATGTGGCTGCAGAAGGACCGGGAGTAGTTGTGGCAAGTTGAGGTTTAATAACTTACGCAAGGTAAGTAATAAGGGGTAAGTAATTTAAGGCGCTGTGAAAGAAAGTGTTATAGATGTTGCCTTAAAAAAATAGGAGAGGGCTTCCCTGGTGGTGCAGTGGTTGAGAGTCCGCCGGCCGATGCAGGGGACACGGGTTCGTGCCCCGGTCCGGGAAGATCCCACATGCCGCGGAGCGGCTGGGCCCGTGAGCCATGGCCGCTGAGCCTGTGCTCTGCAACGGGAGAGGCCACAGCAGTGAGAGGCCCGTGTACCGCAAAAACAAAAAATAGAAGAGAGGATTTATAAGGATATTTGGGGATTCTTCGTTCTTAGACTTTGTCAGAATAGATAATTCTACAATCCTTCCACTAAATATACTGACAAACTATAACAGAATCTTTTAAATGCATGGATGAGCTTTCAAGGAAGTAATTGACTTCCAGGGGCAAGAAACAAAGTAAGCTTAAGTGAGAGAATGAGACTAAACATTTGAGCTGATACTCTGCCGGCCCCCAGGGTGGGATGGTAGGATTGGCCTAAATAATCTAAAAGTGTGAGTTTGAATTATCATGAAAGAATAATGGAAATGGAAATTTGTAAAATATTCAGTCAATAATAAAACTCTTCTGGATCAGCCTAGGCTCAAAGTGGGAGAGATCTCTCCCCCCAAAATCCTAACCATGGTTCAGGAAGTCACAATTCAAAAAAATACAAGTGACCCTGGTTGAACGATATATCCCTGGGATATCTGGCACAAGCAAATACAAAATCTCTTCAACCCACTTCTGGCAGAGCCACTACGGATAGAGCTATACTTCAGATTAGATCACAATCCAAATGAAAAACATTGAAGGAAATGATCTACCACGTGCCAGAATTACTATACAAAACTATTGAAAGGATTAGAGCCTCAAAGAACTTTAAACAATATGCCAAAAATATAAATTATTTAATAAATAAAAAGAATAAACATAAATACAAGATGCTACCAAAAAAAGAACCAAAAATCCAAAAATGAAAAAGCACAATCATTGTGCTGATGGTTGATTTTTTTGCCTTTTCACTTCAAATTGGATCTTGTTGCCTGCTCTGTAATAGTTGTGCTGGGTCTTATAAATATTTCTCCTTTGCTACCCAGCATGATGTTAAGCTTGTCAGTAGAAGGCCTGGAAGAACACTGGAGGAGGAAGGGTTTTCCTGTTTCGAGTGTGCTCTCTTACTAGTGTCCTGCAGAAAGCTCTTTTTTTCTTCTTTGTTCAGCCCCTGCATAGTTTCTCTAGAGTAAGGTTCCCGCAGGGCACAACTTTTTATGATGTTTGAGCAAACTCATGCAGCTACGGAGGCATAGTCTAGAGACCCAGATATTGTGGGCCTGTCCCCGGCCCAGGTTGCTTCACCCCATATCCTCTCCTCGGTCCAGGACATGGACCCACTCCAGGGGCACTGGAGGTCAGCCATCCCCTAAACTTTGTCCTGAACAGCCAGCCCAGGGCTGACCTAATCTAAGCTGTTCATGGAAGTGCACCAACCTCCTGGAGAGGGGGACCTCTCCAGCTCCTGGTTCCAACAGTGTCCGGTAGCTTCTCCTGGTACCTAACAAGTTCTGAGGCTCAGCACCTCCCAGGGGGTAGATTTCCAGCAGGTTCCACTATTGAGCTACTTCATTGACTTCTCCAACATTCAGGAGGCCAAGGTGGTATTCTTTCCAATGACATCTGCATCTCAGTCATAGAAGGAAGGCTTTTCCTTGGGTACTTATCTCAGCCCTAGGGGTAGTGACCACATCTTATATCTGCTATTCCTGGATTCTTTAGAATTCTTTTTAACTCTCACTAGCCAATTCCTCCTTACTCCAAGCCCCTGTTAATAAAGCTTTATATTAAACTTTCCCTGTTCAAAAGACTATGTGGTCCTATCTCCTGACTGGACCCCAAACAATACAGAATTGGTACCAGGAATGGTCCCAGGAAAAAAACCCTGCAAAAATGGCATTCTGGAACTCTCCTTAGAACCAGTTGACTGAGGAAGAAAAATCCTGAGCCTGATTTACAGAGTGGTCTTCATGATATGTTAGTATTGCTTGAAAGTAGCAGCTGCAGCTCTATAGCCCCCCCCTCACTCAAGGGTAAACCTGAGGACAGTGGTAAAAGAAAATCCTCCTAGTGATCAGAACTTCAAGTGTGACATTTAGTCATCTATCTCTGGAGTGAGAAATGTCCAGAAATATAGGTCTATATTAACTTATGGGTAGTTGCAAATGGTTTGGTTGGAATAGTGAAGGATTTGAAAGGGACCATATTAAAAAAACTGATGAAAAGGGAGCTTAAGGAAGAAGTATGTGGATGGACTTTTCAGAATGGGCACAGACTGTGGAGATATTAGTGAATGCTAAATGTCTACCAGAGGACCATTACTGCAGAGGAGGTTCTTAATGATCAGGTGAATAAAACTACCAACTCTGGGGATGTCAGTCATCCTTTCTTCCTAGCCATCACATTCCTTGCTTACTGGGCCCATAAACTAAGTGACTATGGTAGCAGAGATGGAATCAATACATGGGCTCAATAGTTTCACGAGGAAGCAGTTCTATGGAGCTCCTCATACTACCATTCTGGAAGTTGTCTCTAATGCTCACTTTCTATAAATAACAAAACGTCTAGAAAATTGCTCAGAGCTAAAGTAGTTTTTATTCCTTTTCATTATGATGCAGAATTTGGAAGATACAATTTTTGTAATGCAGTGTGATCCCAGGGAAAACTTTTATTTCTTTAATTTTTCTTAATTAAAATTGCATTTTTGTTTCAAAAAGAAACTTGTCATACAATCTCCTTAGGATTGGAACTTAGTATCAACACTTTGGCCTGGAGAAATATTTTAAATTATCTATGTTAGATACAGTTTATGGAAATTAAACAGTTCTTGTTTAAAAAATTAACTTTTTAAAATACCCGGGCTATAAATAACAATGATGCCAAATAAATACATAGAAGAGGGATAAATAAATACATAGAAGAGGGATAAATAAATAAGTGCATTAAAACTCCCACATTTAATATCTTTAGGAAAAAGAGAAAAAATTTGCAGTGAATTATTAATATACTTTGAGAACAGAGGCAACAGTGTTGAATATTTATAAGTATTAAACAGCAATTTTAACCTTGACCTATCCTTTTGAAAAATTGCAGTTATTATTATGAGACTGAATATTGCTCCAAACATGTTATGTAAATGTTTGATCTTATACAGTAGAATATTTTTTTTAAAGATAAGAAGATGTTAATATGTAGATGTCTCAGATAAAAATGTTTCTCTCTCATTTGAATGGTTGGATCAAAAGAGTGGTTTAATAGTGACAATACTGATGAACGATCTGACCATGCACTCTTTGAAGGTAGAAACCTTGGCATATAGTCTTTCATAAGAATCTAGAGAGAATTTGTTAGCTGTGTGAACTTGCATATCAAATGCCTTTGAGGCATATGGCACTGGGATAATAGCATACTCCTCCCATTCTTGGTAATGCCATCTACTTACTTCTCTATCACTCCCCTAAATACATAACCTTTTTGGCTTTAGGTCCACAGTCTTTCCTTACATTCAAAATCCTATAATCATCCTGATTGAATCTGTTCTTCATAATGACTCCCAAGTTCTTTATCTTCTTCAACACAAGGTTTTCTTGACCATTTCAACTCAGTCACTCATTTCTGTCAGAAAAAAATATATATATATGGATTTTAAGTATATAAAAAACACTCAAACGCAATAATAAATATAGATAAAATTCTCAAGTTCTAATTTCTATCTACGTAATTGTCTAAGATCTCAAAGTTTTTTAAATTTTTCAAATTTTGTTTCTTAGAGGATTTGATATATTTAGTTCAATTTGATAATAAGTAGAAAAAAAGCAATTCGTAGGTAATTAGCAAATAAAAATTTTACATACTTAGTATGGGCTGAATTGTGTCCCCCCCCCAAATCCATACATTGAATAAGGAAATGACAAAATTAAGTATGATATATTCATGAAATGAAATGATGTGTGCTAGTTAAAGGAATGAACAGCGGCTCCATGTATCAACAAAGTCAAATATGATTGTTAGATAAAGTAACAAATGAAAAAAGAAAGTAGCAGACTGTGGATAAACAAAAAATGTATACCTATATCTATATACACTTACACAAACCAATAATATGTTTTCTGTGGTATATATGTTTGTACATGAAATAGACATCAAACTATTATCATGGTTTACCTTTGCAGAGAGGGAGAGAATATGGGTGGCCCAAAGCAACTTTAGCTTTTACTCAAGTGCATCTAAGAATTTTGGCTTTTCTCTAAAATTTAAAGGAGAATGCATTCATGTTTTCATGCTTTATAAGGAATTAATTTTTTTCAAAACAAAACATTTTATTGAAGTATGTTTGATTTACAATGTTGTGTTAGTTTCAGGTATACAGCAAAATGATTTGGTCATACATATATATGTGTGTATGTATATATGTGTGTATATATATATATATATATATATACACACACACACACACACACACACACATATTCTTTTACAGATTCTTTTCCATTATAGGTTATTACAAGATATTGACTGTAGCTCCCTGTGCTATACAGTAGGTCCTTGTTGGTTATCTATTTTGTATATAGTAGCGTGTATCTGTTAATCCCAAACTCCTAATTTATCACTCCACCACTTTCCCCTTAAAGAATTAATTTTTTAAAAAGCTGCTCTGCCACCAAAACACTAATTAAAACATTGAGCTTCCTGAGCACAATCTTCTATTATTCTAGCTTATTCTTTCAACTATTCCATGGCCTTTCTTTTTTTTTTTTTTTTTTCGGTACGTGGGCCTCTCACTGTTGTGGCCTCTCCCATTGCAGAGCACAGGCTCCGGACATGCAGGCTCAGCGGCCATGGCTCACGGACCCAGCCGCTCCGCGGCATGTGGGATCTTCCAGGACCGGGGCACGAACCTGCGTCCCCTGCATCGGCAGGCGGACTCTCA